GAACAAAGATTTCTTGAGTAGTAACCCACAAGCACAGGCAACCAAATAAAAAATGGACAAATGGGATTACAAAGACTTCTGCACAACAAAGGAAACAATCAACAGTGAAGAGACAACCCATAAAATGGCAGAAAATATTTGTAAACTACTCATCTGACAATGGATTAATAATCAGTATATATAAGGAACTCAAACAACTCAGTAGGAAAAAATAAAATAATCCAATTTTAAAATGGGCAGGCCAGGCATAGCAGCTCACGCCTGTACTCCCAGCATTTTGGGAGGCTGAGCCAGGAAGATGGCTTGAGCCTAAGAGTTCGAAAGTAGCCTGGGTAACATAGTGAGATACTGTCTCTTAAAAATATATACATATATATTTATTAATAAATTAAATATATAAATATATATTTATTATATAAAATTAAATATCTATTAAATAATATAAAATATATATTTATATATATATCTGAATAGATATTTCTCAAGTCATACAAAATGACCAATAGGTATATGAAAAAAATGTTCAATATTATTGATCATCAGAGAAATGCAAATCAAAATCAAAATGAGATATCTCAACCCAGTTAAAATGACTCTTATCCAAAAGATAAGCAATAACAAATGCTGGCAACCATGTGTAGAAAAGGGACTGCATACCCTGGTGGCAGGAATGTAAATTAGTACAGCCACTATGAAGAACAGTATGGAGATTCCTCAAAGAACTAAAAACAGAACTACTATATGATCCAGCAATTCTATTGCTGGGTACATACCCAAAAGAAGAAATCAGCATATCAAAGAGATGTCTACATTCCCATGTTTATTGCAGTACTATTCACAATAGCCAAGTTTTAGAATCAACCTAAGTGTCCCTATAACAGATGAATGGATAAAGAAAATGTGGTACATATACACAATGGAATACTATTTAGCCATAAAGAAAAGAATTAAATCCTATCCTTTGCAACAACATAGATGGTACTAGAGGAGATCATGTTAAGTGAAATAAACAAGGCACAAAAAGATAATTTCACATGTTCTCATTCATATGTGGGAGCTTAGTTTTTTTTAAATTGTACTCATAGAGACAGAAAATAGAATGATGGTTACCAGAGGTTAGGAAGGGTAGCAAGAAGAGGGAAATAAAATGGGGATGGATAGTGGGTACAAAAATACAGTTAGATAGAAGGAATAAGATCTAGTATTTGGTAGCACAATAGGGTGATTATAGTTAACAATAATTTATTGTATATTTTTAAATAACTAAAAGAGTGGAGACGGAATGTTGCTAACACAAAGAAATAATTGCTTGAAGTGATGGATATCCCAATTACCCTGATTTGATCACTACACATTATATGCCTGCGTCAAACCATCACATGTACCCTGTAAATATATACAACTATTATCTACCTATAATGACTAAAAATAAAAAATTTAAAACAAAATAGATGTGTGCAAGTATGTGTCCAGGTTAATAAAAGCATTAAAAGAATTTTCTATTTACCATGTGACCTACTTGACTTTTTCCAGAATATTTTTATACAGTATGCTCTGAGACTAAAGAAGATATTATGTACATCAGTATAGAATCAAATGATAAAAAGAGCAACCTAGCAGAGCAAATCAATTTTTTAAAAAAGAGTTTACCAGATAATTAACTATAACTTTAAAGACAATTAACTACATTCCTAATAATCTGTCAGGATCTTTATCTGTCAATTCAGTTAAGTTATTCACCACTGAAGGATATTTTCACTAATTAAACCATATATACCATCTTCTGATTTCAACTTCATTAAGGAATTTTCTGAAATATTTTAAAATATTTTAAAAATATTTAAACTCTTAGATAGTAAAAAGTTTGGCTTAGCCAAAATAAAAGCCAAACTTTATGAACAGTAATACAACAACCAACCTTCTTTTATTAAAACAAATAAAAAACAGTACTTTCTCTTTTCAATTGTAGAGAATACAATTTTTTTAAAAAACAAAGAGGTTAGGATGTCAATAATGTCTTAGAATTAAAACTGATGATATAACATTTTTTAAAAAAAGATGGATAGTTTAGTGGTTTAGAGGATAGGCTCTGAAGTCAGATTGCCTGGGCTAATTCCAGATTTGCTACATACTAGCTGGAGAAACTGGGAAACATGAAATCCTAGCCTGTGTATGGTGATATAATAGTACTACCTCACTCACAGGGTTGTTCTAAGCATTTTACACACATTAACTCATTTAATCCCCTCAATAACTTTGTGGGGTAGGTACTGATATCGTGCTCATTTTCTAGATATGCTAAGTGGTACTGGGAAGGGTAAATAACTTGCCAAAGGTAGAAAGTAAGTTGTAGAGTAGCTGTAGAGCCTCTGAGATGCTCCTGTGGAAGAAGAGGATGAGTGATGAAAAGAGAAAGAAGACAGAGGAAGTAAGAGCTGAGAGGTGATGCTGACTGATACCATCAAAACTTCAGGAGAGTAATGACATGCACAGAAAACTATGTACAGAGGACTTTTATGAAAATGGTTAAGGGGTGGAGCTTTGCACCTGGGGGGAAATGAGGCTAAACAGAGAAAAGCGTCAGCAGACAGAGGAGATGAAGGGCAAAGAGGCATCAGCCAACATCTGGGGGACCTGTCTTGTTTGGGTCATCTGAATGAGGTGCAGCAGTAGCTGCACTGCAAATTAAATTGCTATCCTGGACTACGACGGAAGTGATTCTTCACCATGGCTGTCCAATGGCTGGACGTATGGTGCTGGGTACAACACCAATCATGCTGGTCCAAGGTGGTCCTGGGAAAACTCCCTCAGATGGAGCAGCTGGTACTGAGAGCATATTAGAGTAATTAGGTCCTGGAAATTCCTTCTTAAAATATGAAATTTGGAAGTTTGTGTGCCTTCTGAGACTCAGTTAAAGAAAGACTACTTCTTAAACTAGTCTTTCCTGGAAAGGGAAAGGAGGTCCACAGTAGATAATACCCTGAGGCAGAAGGCCCTGGAAACCGGGCTTCTACTGAGGCAGCTACAAGACATGCAATGGAACGTCTCAACAGGGCTACATGCTACCAGAAATTGGAGGTGATCTTAGCAGCACCAGGAGCCACTGCAGTGGTGGTTAAAATTTGTCTCAGAAATCCTACAAAGTGGCAGAGAAGTAGGGATGAAGAAGATGAATAAAAAGTTTAAGGTCCAGCATTAGGAATTGTATTTGCTTTCAAAGATGCCAGCACACCCAACTTACATCCTTTAAGTGGCTATTTGATAACAAAAAGAATAATGTCAATTTCTAATCATAAAGACAACAGAAAAGAGGCTGGATGTGGTGGCTCATGCCTGTAATCTCAACACTTTGGGAGGCTGAGGCAGGAAGACTGCTTGAGGCCAGGAGTTCAAGACCAGCCTAGGCAACATGGCAAGACCTATCTCTATTTTATTTAAAAATAATGTTTTTTAAAAAATGTAATACATATATAATAAAAACAACAGAAAAAAGCAGAGTTCCCTGTATATGTGTTAACACTTCAGAGGTATTTTAAAATCAGGAATATACAACAGAGTAGAAAACAAGAGTTTTTGGAAAAATTTCTGAGAGAATAATTTATTACAAAACTCCTGAAAAACAGAACTTCATAGGAGGCCTGATGTAACCCTGAAGTTTTCTGTCAACGAGGCTAATTCAAGAAGTGTGAAAAAAGTAACACTGGCAGCTTTCAAGGAACTAAAATCGGGGTTGACAGAGTCAGTTCTGACTTGGAAGCCAAGGCATAAATTCCTGACACACTAAGAAGGAAGGGTCAGATTAGCAATCAAGTCCACTGCACCCCACCTTATCCCAGTCAGAAGGCTACCCAGAAAAATCATCAGCCCTGGTCAAAGACTAAGCCCCACTATTTTACCTCAGGTATAAGGGATCTGGTCTGATGAAAACAATTCTGACCAACCTCCCAGCTACTGCCCCTGTCCCTGGATATATAAGACAGGTTCTGAAAAACAACAGGCCTGCCAGAACATGGCTGTAGAAACAATGGAAAATTCTATAGTAAAGTTTATCCACGAAAAAACTCCACTCTGGTCTCCCAGAGATTACCCTTAAATCTAAGGGAAACGTTCTTTATTTCTCAAAACCTACAGAGCATTGGCTGATGCCAGCAGATGTCAGTCTGACAGGGCCAAGATAAAAGAAGTAAGAGGTAGGAAACCAGTATCTGGAAAGGGAGACCCAGAGAAACATTCCAGGGAGTGAAGACCTATGAGTTAATGCAAATCTTCTCAGAGAAGGAGCAGGAATTTGGTGGAAGGAGGTCCAGCATGGAAGAGGATGAGAACCACAAGGAAACACTGGGTTTGACTATCCCACACCATACTTTGGAAAGAGAATTTCTGGGAAGAGCAAAGATGTTGTGCAAAACTTTTCCTCAGGGGAAGAAATGTGACATGACATGGAGGAAATTTTACTTTTCAGAATTCCCCTGGTGAAGAATACTGTATCTGATTGTAAGAAATATTTTTTAAAGACACTAAAATCTTTAAAATTTGCAGGTATTAAGTTTATAATAGAAAATAGTCTTAAAGAGGAAACACTATTCAACATACTTAGATTTTAAAGTCTACTTCATTCGGCAAATATTTATTAGATGCCTAATTTAATTTCAGATGCTAATTTATGAAACAAGGTTAGTACTATTTATAAGACAGAACTTGAATTCATCAAGGATTCTTGAAGACTTTAGATTTTCCACAGTTAAAAAAAGGGGAAAAAAGAAGTGATTTTACAAATTTAATTTGGAGTACAGAGCCAAACCCATGTAAGAAAAATCTCTCTTGATGACACTATTCCAAGTAATTGATGACCTTTATCTTTACAGATTTTACTTTTTAAAAATTAAACACATAAATTAATTCTGAAATTATAAAAAATGATTTAAAATCAATCGTATAATTTGCAAGTAATTTTTTAAAGAAAACATAATTTAATTATTTTGTTTCATAAAAAGACTCACCTAAAAGGACGAATCCATCTGCTTCTGTCTCTGGTACTGAGGGCTTTTTAGATTCCGGAGGCTTTCTGAAGAAGTGAAACATTGCTGCTGTTGCTCCTGCTGCTGCTGCTGCTGCTACCTGAAATAGAAACATTACACAATGTCACATTCGGATGCAACTGTAAAACTCTTACCCTTTTTAGCAAAAAATTAAGCACAAATATATCACAAAAGTTACTCTTAGGAATTCTATGGACAGACGTAAAACCATGAACCCTCTCTAGATGTCAGCAGACAAAGCTAGAAAATGATCTTCCAGTTTAAACTCCAGTATCCGTTGAAGATCACAGTGCAACCTCTCTCAATTTCTGAAGATTCAGAAAATAACCCAGGAAATTCCTACATACAAAACTCAAATCAACAGATAACACAAGAATCTGGAAGGATCTTGCTAACCACAAAACAGATACTGGTTTGGGTAATAGAAAAAAAAAACTGTCCAGGTTTCTTGTCATGCTGTAACTACCTTAAGCCTCATAAAACTAAGGCCACCTGAAAAAAAGGAAACATTTCAAACATCCCCTACTGATGGTCTAATTTAGACACTCAAGCACTGTACCTTTATTAGTCCATTCTCACACTGTTATGAAGAAACATCCTTGACTGAGTGATTTATAAAGAATAGAGATTTAATTGACTCACAGTTCCGCATGGCTGGGGAGGCCTCAGGAAACTTAAAATCATAGGGGAAGACACCTCTTCACAGGATGACAGGAGAGAGAATGAGTGCCAAGCCAATGAGGAAGCCCCTTATAAAACCATCAGATCTCATGAGAACTCATCACTATCACGAGAACAACATGGGGGAAATGGCTCCCATGATTCAACTATCTCCACCTGGTCCTGCCCTTGACCTATGGGCATTAATACAATTCAAAGTAAGATTTGGGTGGGGACACAGAACCAAACCATATCAGTACCCATTATAAAATTGCAGCCAGCTTTAAATTCCCATCAGTGCAGATCCTTGTGTTGGTGATATTATTGTGACCATCCCCAATACACACATGCTCACAGGCACACAAATACAAGCACACATACACAACCCTCTTTTCCTACTATTCCCATTGTTATATATTAAAGTAGGCCAACAATTTCTAGAAAACAACTGGGGAGAAAGCTGAAGGGTATTTTCAAGGACACATAGGATTCTGAGGACAGTTCCTTACAAGCCAAAAAAATAGAAGAGAAAGCAAAGAATAATCCTGGTGGCAGCAAGTGCTCCAAGTTTTAGTTTTCATACATTTCACCCATAGCAGAAAATCAAGAAGGGAGGGTAAAGATTTAATCTTAGTGAAAACCTTCTAGAAACTGAGAATTATGCTGGGATTTGTGCTGGTTGGCCTGACCTGAGCTATAGATCAGAGAAGGATAAGTGAGGTTACTATTTGTTGCTAGAAAATATCTATTTGTTGCTAGAAAACATATCTGGCAGATTTCACCTTTAAAAAAGGAATTAAAAATGGAGAAGAAAAACACAAGCCACATGAAGAAGAAAACATTCTAATAAGAGAAAAGGAACAGCCTCTGAAATCCTTAAAGAAAGAGCTTACTGGATATAGTAATGGATACAAAAGAAAAGTCTGAAAATAGTTTGGCACTCTCTATAGACAACAAGGAGAGATGGCCTCTAATGAAACTGGTAAAAAAACAAGATTAGATGAAAAAGCAAAAGAAGAGGATGAAAAGACAAGGAATCAAATGAAAAAAGTAACTGAATAAGATAAAGGGAAACCCACACAAGGAAGAAATGAGATCAGAAAAGAATTGGTTTGCAAGCAGGAATGTAAAATACTGTATACAATAGTCCCCCCCGCTTATCCAAGGGGGACATGTTCCAAGACCCCAAGTAGACACCTGAAACCAACGATAGTACTAAACCCTATACACAGTATGTTTTTTCCTATACAAATGGTCCCTCAAATAATGTTGCTTCATTTTAACATTGACGAGGAAAAAAAAACTTGATTCCCAGCTGGGGCCACTGTCTATGTATGTGTAGAGTTGGCCCATTCTCCCCACGTCTGTGTGGGCTTTCTCCCCAGTACTCCAGTTTCCTCCCACATCCCAAAGCTGTGTCCACTGGACGGACTGGCATGTCGACATGGTTCCTCTCTGAGTGAGTATGGGTGGGTATGCGAGTGCCCTGCGATAGAGTGGTGTCCTGTTCAGAGCTGGTTCCTCCTAAGGCCTTGAGGGCTTAAGCTGCCAGAAGAGCCTCTGGCCAGCTGTAGCACTTAACTAGAATAATTGGGTAAATAATTATCTTGTTTTATTAATATTTCTTAAATGTATGTATCACTAACATTCATTTCAATGTTTAACATTAGAAAAGTTTTTATCTTTATTTAGAAGTTGGTGATGTTTTTATGACCAGAAATATGCCATATGAAATGAACTCTCGCTTATATCAATTAGCCTATTGTAAAACTGGTTTCATTATATGTTGTTTCACTTAAAGTCAGTTTCTAAAAACCTATCCATGATGTTAAGCGAGAATTTACTGTACATATAAACCTATGATAAAGTTTAATTTATAAATTAGGCACAGTAAGAGATTAGCAATAACTAATAATAAAATAGAGCTATAACAATATATAGTAATAAAAGTTATGTGAATATGGTCCCCTTCTCGCTCCCTGTCTTAAAATCTTCTTGTACTGTGGCCGGGCATGGTGGCTCACACCTGCAATCCCAGCACTTTGGGAGGCCAAGGCGGGCGGATCACAAGGTCAGGAGATTGAGACCATCTTGGCTAACACAGTGAAATCCCTTCTCTACTAAAAACATAAAAAAATAGCTGGGCGCAGTGGCGGGTGCCTGTAATCCCAGTTACTCAGGAGGCTGAGGCAGGAGAATGGTGTGAACCTGGGAGGCAGAGCTTGCAGTGAGCCGAGATCGTGCCACTTCACTCCAGCCGGGGCAACAGAGCGAGACTCCATCTCAAACATATATATATATATATAAAATTGTACTGTACTCATCTATTTTTTTACTCAGTTGCCATAAGTAACTGAAACAGTAAAAATCGAAACCATAGATAAGAGTGAGGACTACTGTATGCTCTATCTCCTATAATCCTTACAATAGCCCCACAGGTATACACAATTATTCACATTGTGTAAGTAAAAGAAGTAAGTAGGACCAGGCATAGTGGCTCAGACCTGTAATACCAGCACTTTGGGAGGCTGAGGGAGGCAAAATGCTTGAGCCCAAGAATTTGAGACCAGCCTGGGCATGACGAAATCCTGTCTCTACAAAAAACACACACACACACACACACACACACACACACATTAGCCAGGTGTGGTGGTGTGTGCCTGTGGTCCCAGCTAATCGTGAGGCTGAGGTGGGAGGACTGCTTGAGTCCAGAAGGGTGAAAGTGAGCCACTGCACTGCAGCCTGGGCGAGAGAGCAAACCCTGTGTCAAACAAACAAAGAAGAATCGAAGCAAAAACCTAGGTTAAGTACTGGTCCAAGTTTACGCAGCTGGTAGAGTAGAGCATAATCTTAAACCAAATCCTATTGGCATCAAAACTGAATGCTTTTCATCAGTAAAGCATCACAGCCAAGGAACACTTAACACTTAGGATATCTGTGTTGGACTTTCTTTAATATATTTCTCAATGTTAGTCAAATACATTTGATTAATTCCATTTCTGTCTGTCAATCCCTACTTTCCGAAGCCTTGCTCAGCTCTATGCTGTGAAGACATTTACTAACTGTATAACATCTATGAAGACCTTCATTTACTTCATACTTTTATAATATAAACATTTATTAAGTGCATAGGCCAGACAATGGTCCAAAACTGCAGGTATAGCACTGAACTTACATTTAGGGAAAACAAACTGCAACCTCAGCCCGTCATATTTCTGAGGCAATCCTTAGCAGAATTAAGTGTAATTTAAGTGGAGGGGACCTGTATAGTCCTGCTGCCCCAAGCCTAGTATGTGGTAAGCTCTAAGCACTCTTGCTTCTGATATGCATGGCCTTAACAGCTGGACTTCTGCCTGGAGTTCCCAAGCATACTCCAGTCTCATGTCCTTCTCTGTAGTTCTCAGTATTTTTTAAATTGTCTACAATGAGCAAATTTTACATTTATAAACAGGAAACATACCAAATTTTATTCTCAAAAATCCATTATTAACTAGCGGCAACTTGCCTGAGCTAGAACCCAACCCATAATGTATCTTAATACTCAAACACAGGGATCCTGGAACTACCTCTATACAGGTGGAGGATAAAGAATTCACCTGTCAGGCTGACGCCTGTAATCCCAGCACTTTGCGGGGCAAGGCGGGTGGATCACCTGAGGTTAGGAGTTAGAGACCTGGCCTAGCCAACAAGGTGAAACTCCCTCTCTACTAATAATACAAAAATTAGCCGGATGTGGTGGCGCATGCCTGTAATCCCAGCTACTCAGGAGGCTGAGAGGCAGGAGAATCACTTGAACTTGGGAGGCGGAGGTTGCAGCGAGCTGAGACCCCATCATTACTCTCCAGCCTGGGCAACAAGAGCGAAACTTCATCTCAAAATAAATAAATAAATAAATAAATAAATACATAAATAAATAAATTCACCTGTCCAAACCACAAAATGGGAGAAAATTCCTGGAAATCACATATTTGATAAATAATGTATATAAAGGGTATATAAAGAACTCTTAAAACTCAGTAATGAAAAAACAACTCAATAAAAACTGGACAAAAAATATGAACAGCCACTTCACCTAGGAAGCTACATGAACAGCAAACCACCACATAGAAAATGACCAATATCATTAGTCAATAAGGAAAAGTAAATTAGAATCTCAATGACATACCATTATATACCTATTAAAATATTTAAAATTAAAAAGACTTGCCCTGGCCGGGTATAGGGGCTCACACCTGTAATCCTAGTACTTTGGGAGCCTGAGGTGGGCACATCACTTGAGGCCAGGAGCTTGTGACCAGTCTGGGCAACATGGCAAAACCCCATCTCTACAAAAAATACAAAAATCAGCCAGGTGTGGTGGCATGTGCCTGAGGTCCCAGCTACTCAGCAGACTGAAATGGGAGGATTGCTTGAGACCAG